AAAGTTTAAGATAAGTTTCGGAATATGGTTTTCAAACCCACCACGGGAGTACCCCCCAGTTGCCTTTGAAACAGTTTGCCTTTTATGACAATGCCCCACGAGTTTCACATCGAAATAAGCGAATAGGTGAGACCCATGTCTACCATGCAAACAATTAGCGGAAATTTTGATGTCAAAGTTAATGCCTAAACCAAATTGCAAAAAATTTAAAAGCTTAGAGTATGTAATCGTTAAAATTGATAGTGTGGGGGCAAACACTCCTTAAGGCCCCATTTAGTTCAGGGGAAAGGAGGCTTGGGGATGGGAAATCAATTGCATTCCTATGTTTGGTAAGTCCAAGCATGGGAAATGGTTGCCTAAGGGCTTCCCCAATGGGGTCTCTAAAAGGGACTCCACCACCATAGGAGCCTTATATAAAGTGCCCAATGCAAAAAAGGCAACACCAATGGGATGCATTTGGGTCTCTAAATCCTAAAGCCCACCAGAGTTTGCCCTAAATATAAAGACCATGCTAGAGCATTAGAGCCCAAATAGGCCCTATTTGTTGCCAAAAGCTGACCCAAAAGTCAGCTCCATCATTACACTTTTGGGCTTGTTTTCTTTGTTTTTTACTTTTATTTTTTAAGAAACCAAGGCTTTGGTAAAATCATTTTTTTACAAAGGCCTTGGTTTCCTAACATTACCAAACATGAAATTCGTTCCGATAATGGGACTGAACTTGTGTCTATGATCTCTTTGTTTGGTGAACATGGCATCACTTTTCAACGCTTATGCCCTTCCACTCCACAACAAAATAGAGTGGTTGAACGCAAACATAGGCACTTACTTAATGTTGGTCGAGCTCTTCAATTTTGAGCTCATCTTCCTCTTCCTTTTTGGGGAGAAAGTGTTCTCTCCACTGCCTACCTCATCAATTGTCTTCCCACACCTACCCTTAACAAAAAATCACCATATGAAATGCTTCACCAAACACCTCCTACATATACTCATCTTCATGTGTTTGGGTGCCTTTGTTATGCTACCAACACCAACTCACCTTCCAAATTTTCACCTAGGGCTCGTCGTTGTGTCTTTGTGAGATATCCATTGGGCCAAAAGGCTTATAGAGTTTATGACCTTTCCACACACAAGTTTTTCTCTACCCGTGACGTCGTATTTCATGAACATGTCTTTCCTTACCACACCTCATTATCAAACACACATCACATTGCTTCCACACCTTTTCCTAACCCGTTTCCAGACATTTTCCCCTCTGAAACACAATCCCACCCTCAAACAACGTCCAAAACCACAATTTGTTTAGAAACGATCGATCGCCCATCCTCTAGAGATCGATCGCTTTTTGACAGAGAGCATTTGAACTCTCCAATTGACGAAACGATCGATCGCACCTCTCACAACTATCGATTGTCCCATGACATCGACAATGTTCCTAACTCTCCTTCCCCTAAAAACTTCCTAACCTCTCCATCACTTTGCCTTAGCCAATGTGTCTCTCAACCATCCATTCTCTTACGTGATTTTCATTACAATCAAGCTACAAATGGGCCATCATCTTCCAAGAAGTCAAGTACACAGTTCCCTTGTCCAGTTACATTTCTTACACCTCTTTATCTCCTTCACACAAAGCTTTTGTTAACCAAATTTCAAGTGTTGTTGAGCCCACTTCTTATGCTCAGGCTTTACTCGACCCTCACTGCCGTATCGCTATGGATGTCAAACTACAGGCGCTTTCCCAACAAAACACTTGGTCGTTGGTTCCACTCCCATCTAGCAAACATGCAATTGGCACTCGGTGGGTGTATCAGATCAAGTACAATTCTGATGGTTCTATTGAGCGTTACAAAGCTCGTCTTGTTGCCCAAGGCTTTACTCAAAGAGAAGGCCTTGATTCTACGAAAACCTTTGCTCCTGTTGTGAAATTGGTCACCATCTGGATGTTAACAATGTCTTTCTCCATGGTGATCTCCATGAAGAAGTTTACATGACCACTCTTTTGGACCCTTGTCGACAGGGGGAGAGTACTTTGGTTTGTCAACTACACAAGTCCCTTTATGGTCTCAAACAAGCTCCTCACAATTGGTTTCACAAGTTTTCCGTTGCCATTCAGAAAGCAGGATTTACACAATCTCTCACAGATTATTCTCTCTTCACTCATACTTGTGGTACATCATTTACTGTTGTTTTAATCTATGTTGATGACATGGTGATCACAGGCATTAACGAGAATGCTATACATAACTTGAAGTCTTTTCTTGGGCTAGAGATTGCAAGATCAAATGCGGGAATTGCGATCTCCTAACGAAAGTATACACTTGATATACTCGATGATGCAGGTATTCTAAGTGCTCAACCAGTAGACTTTCCTATGGAGCAAAACTTGAAGCTCACAAACAGTAATGGTGAAGTGCTCAACGATCCTTCACGGTTTACACAATTGGTGGGAAGACTAATCTACCTTACAATCACTCCACCAGAGATTACTTATGTAGTCAACATTCTGAGCCAATTTATACATCAACCGAGGAAACCACATTTGGATGCTGCTTTACATATTCTTCGCTATCTGAAAGGTAGTCCAGGTCAAGGATTACTTTTCTCTTCAAATAGCAAGTTGCATTTGATAGGTTATTGTGATTCTAATTGGGCAAACTGCCCTATGACAAGAAAATCCACTTCAGGCTACTGTGTTTTTCTTGGGAATTCACTCGTATCCTAGAAGACAAAGAAACAGAAAACAGTATCTCGTTCATCTGCTGAAGCAGATTATCGTTCCATGGCAACCGCAACTTGTGAGCTAACTTGGTTGCGATATCTTTTGAAAGATCTACAAGTTACCAATTTAGGTCCTGCAAAGTTGTTCTGTGACAACAAAGCAGCCCTTCATATTGTCACCAATCCCGTTTACCACGAACGCACGAAACACATTGAGATTGATTGTCACGTGGTTCGAGAAAGGATACAAGCTGATAGATTGCTGCTTCCTTTATTCCATCCGCGTCACAAGTAGCTGATTTGTTCACAAAAGCCCTTAGAAGTAATGCTTTTCACAATCTTGTACGCAAGTTGGGCATTTTTGATATCCATGCTCCAACTTGAGGGGGAGTGTTGGAAATTAGGAAGTTTCTTTATTTCCTTTTCTGTAATTGATTGTAATTGATTTAGAAGTAGTCTCCAAGTAAACCTAGGATTCCTTGTAGGGTTTGTAAATCTTTCTATAAATACTTAGCCTTCTGGCTCTATCAATACATAGAGAAACATTCTTCTCAACACAGTCTCCAATTTGACAATAACGATTTTTGAATCCAAGACCCGCTTATTTTTAGGCCAACCCAACCTATTATGATCGGGTTGGACAGTTCAATCCAATTAACCCGAAATTGTGCCCACCCCTACATGTTGAGTCAGAAGGCAAAAACAATTGTAGGATATAATACTTGGCTCACTCTCTTGGAAGTACTCATTCCAAACTTACTTGAAAATCATATTTGAGTGAATTATCTCAATTGGTGCATTTTGTTGAATTTTACGTACTTAACATAAATGGTAGTGCACACATCACAATTCCTCCTCAAAAAATTACAAATTCATTCATGGTAGAATACCATACAAGTTAGCTCTTTAAATCCAATATTACAAGTATGTGATATTTACACTTGAGAAATATTTTGGTTGAGAAATTGACCTTTTCTCTAACACCTTCCCCACTTTTAACCAACTTTTTTCAAGATTTAGAAATATAGTTACTTGACGCATGCTTGCTCGAACCTTCTCGAGGGCTTTCGATTGCTCGAAGCCCTAAAAAAAAGGTGTGAAGTCCCCTCAAGTTGTTAAAAATCTAAAAAAATCTAACTCTTTTAACATTAATTCGGGTGCTTTCCAAAATTTCCCCATTATGTTGTGTATCTCCCAAAAAACAGAAACATTTTGTTGTCCCTCAGCCGCTAGTAAGAATTGACCTAACATAACCCCAAAAACATTTTCTTATCCCTTAACCGACGGACTTGGCCTTGAGACGAACCGCCACCTTTGATTGATTGAACAAGGCATTTTATTGGTCCGATAAGTGTTATGGACCGAAATAGCCCAGGGCCAAAATGGTCATTTCGCATTTTTCCTTGTGCAACTAGGAAATCCTAATTCAAACGCTACAAATAAACGCCGACTTACTCTGCCTATGCGTGTGTGTGTGTCTATATAAAGCAAACGGCACCTGCAATTTCTTCTCATCGCTCATCATCGATCCTTGATTATCAACTAATTTATTATTATTAAGAAACTAAATTATAAATACACAAATTAATATAAAAAAATGGGCGCAGCAGCAGCAAGCAGAGAGAAGCCATTGATGATCCCAAATTCAAATAATATCTTCTCAGAGTTGGAAGTAAACGCAATAGAGCTTCTCGTACAACTCAGCGGATCGTCGTGCTGCAATGGCGGCAGCACTGAAGAAGAAAGCGATGTCAAAAGCAGAGCAGCTCCTCCTACATTATTCGCTGAAGACGAAGAAGAAGACGAAGTGAGTTTCGGACCGAGGAAGAAAAGGTTCCGGTCAATTTCGGAACTGTACAAGTTGATAGAGCCTCTCAATCTTGTTATTGTTGCAGCAAAGGAAAATAAGAGAAAGAGGAAGAGGAGCATCTGATCAATTTCCAAACCGTGTTGGAAAGAATTGTAAATCTCCCCAAGCAAGCAGGCAGGCAGGCGTGTTGAATTGGATCAAAAGGCAATATAATAGCGTAAACGATGAACCAATCCGTTCTACAATCACGCTGTGAATTCTGCCAATTACTGCAATTTTGTTAAAGTTCACATGACAATGGTAATGCACACATCGCACTTTCCTCCTCAAAGAGTTGCAACTTCTTTTACGGCATAACACCATGCAAGCTAGCCATTCGGTACCAATCCCAGGTATTCGAGTAATCGGTGAACACAGTCTCCGTCGTGCAAAATAAAAGATAACATGTCTAAAAAGTAGTAAATTTGAGGGCAGGTGTGAAAGCATACTCTACATGAAATCTTTACTTGCTAAAACAGGTTTCCTCCCCTCTAGACTACAAAAGACTTTAACTTGTAAGAGATGCATGCAATCAGGGTTTGGCTACACAAAGATAACATGATGATGTTCTCAACTTGTTTGTGCAATTTACTTTTTCGGAACCTAAGTGTTGCGTAAATACAAAATCTGAGATCCTGTTTACTCTTCTAAACATGATCTAAGTATGCAGCTGATTAAAAAGACAATTCACAGCTTCAGGTTCTTAAAAGCTCCTTCAATGCTCTAGATGGAATACATATTCTGTCAAGTTCTGCAATTTACTGGCATCCAGTTTCTGCTCTGTAACAATGGGCTGCTTCTTCACAGTAAGCATTTGAGAAGCAGGGTCCACAGCCCAACCTTGCTGTTGTACAACTGCATATGACAACCAAATCTAAAGAATTTGCAACATAAATGATAACAGGCCTAAAAGCATAAGTATGCAATTAATGGAAAAAATAATAAAATATTATTTTCTTTTATATTAAGGAAATAAGTCATTATTGATGATAAGCAGTGTCGTCATCAAGTCCAGTCATCGAAGACTTGGTAACCTTTAAAGCAAAATGAACTGTTTTATAAAGGGAATATAAGAAAAAGCAAGGAAAAACTGTAGGTAATCAAGGTTCCTAAAGTTCTGCCAGATTTTACATCCAAATTCTCCGAAATGTAGGCAGGTACACCTTTCTTCTTATATTTTAATTGGACCAACAGTATGAACAGAACACCCAAATCCACCATAACATAGACATTTACTTGCCACTCTAATATGACAGCTCAGGCTCATTCAAGACAATATGATTAGGTATGAACACAATTACACCAAAGCCAACTCTGCCACTGCGTTTAATCTTTTTCCAATCATCCATGAGGCTTCTTAGTGACTTTTCAACTGGTTTATCATTCTTGATATATATATTCCTATGTTTGTAAATCTCAAAAATAACCCCTCCTAAAGCAGCGGAACCTTTTTACAGAGAATCTACTTATTCAGGAAGAATATACTTCAAAAAGGCCATACCTCCAACTGTAACATGGTTAATTTCCCAATGATACATCTACTATATTTTCTCATAGATAAAAAAGATTTTGGTTTTTCGATTTTTTTGGCAATTCACTATCTTCTTAATGTGCAGCAACAAAATAGGGTATCTGGACAAAGCATTAAGATTTTTGTTTTTTATTTTTTCAGAAAAGAAACTTAACCCCCAGAGCAATTTGGAACATAGACAATAGTGAAAACAGAAGCTTACAAGTTGTGGCATCATCCTCGCTCATTCCAAGGAAGAGAGCTGTGTCTTGGATGCTTATTGTAGAATAGGCAGACTGCAGGAGCTGAAACATATTCTTTGTGTAAAGATCTGCAAGAAGTTCAGAAGACAATTAATGATGGAAAGAAGTGCATAAAACATAAGAATTAGTACTCTACAAGCTCCCTTAAACACCAGAAAAATAAGGAAACAGAGTTATTTGAGTGTTGATCCCCTAATCAACAATTATCACAAAACTATAGAGATGTTTATATTTTCAATTCAGCTAAAGATTCAAGTGTAGATTATGTTATGCAAGTCATCCGCTTAGAACTTATAAGCATGACATGATATATTGAACTGGACAATTGTGTCCAGATTGGAAAGTACTTAGACATATTTCTCCACTGAAACAAGAGTAAATATTGTCACTTCCCACTCCTAGATCAATAAAGGAACTGTATAAAGACACA